ACAGGTTGTCATTTCCCTGAGGGGCCAGAACGCAGATTTGTGGGTGTTGCAGGGTATAGACGGCCTGACTTGTGGATCACGTGAGGTTTGCACAACCGTGGAGCTCCCAAAACAGGCAAGCTTGCCTCATCAGAAATATAGCACTCCTCAATGGATCTGCCTCCAGTTTCGGATGACTATTTACCACCTGGGATCTGGGCTTTTTGATTCTTCGTTTCTTAGGTGAGTTCCAGTTTGAAGCACTGCCTCCCTGCTTTTTTTAGGAGTTGAGCCAGTTGTGATCCCACAATGAGTATAGACAACTGTCCACCACTGTTCTACCCATCTAAAATCACAAAGCCCCCAAATGGCGTACCCTGAATGAAGTCCACCCGGGAAGTCCGTGCAGCGTGGGGAGTCAGCTCATGTTTTGCCAGGAGACGTCGCAGAGCCCACAGGGACAGGCCCGGGCCGCGTGCGGTGACGCAAAACGGGGGAGGTAAGCAGAGAGAGTGGCTGAAATTCAACGGCGCTTGTCAAGGGGTCCCTTCAGCTTTGTGGGTAACATCCTCTTTCAAAAAAAGCTCAAGGAACATCTCTACTTTTTACGCATTCTCACATCTCTCACAAAGGACGCTTGCTTGGCCGCGAACCAAGTGTTTCGACGACCTAGAGCACTAGCGAGTAGACTATGCCTGAAGCTCCTGCTTGCAATCCGTTTGCCGCTTCCTGTCTGTGAGCTTCATACATTGAACCTATCTTCAAGTGCCTTAGTTTGCAGGGCTTGAGTGGATTGCTGGCTTGATGAATCGATCGATGGGCTGGAGTTGTGCACGCACTCCTCGTATTTGTTGCTCGAAGACCACCCGAGAGGCTTGGCAGCAGCCTCGCCCCTTGCCCAGGAAATCAAATATGAGGACACCATGCTTTACCACGTCGCGCGCATAGCTGTACTCAGGGTCAGGAAGGACTATGTTCGCCTTACATAACATTGGTGTGTGGAAACCTGCGTGGTTGCTGTATGTCAGTGTAGCTAAGCAGAGTCAGTGGACTTGTTCTGCGTTTGCCAGATACAAGCTGTGCAGCGCTTGTTCTGCAACCAGGTCGGTACAACAAAGAACGAGGTGGCGATCATTGCATGGTACCTAGCGTACTGCAACAAGTCTCTCGCCTGTATCACAGCAATTGCTTGCTACAGCAGCGTGCTCTTCTCTCTGCAACATGTCCCGCGTCATCAGCAAATAGTTCAAATGCATCAAATGAGCAACATAGGCATGAGCATTTAGGGAAATGTGTACATCCACACTGGAATCCACACCATGAGCTGTGCATCAGTGGATCAGCGAAGCCTGGAAGAGATGATGGCTGATGCACAGGGCACTTTGATTTGGCTGTTGCAAGTAGGGAGGGATAAAGACGAGCTTTTTAGCCAGGATAATTCCGGTTTGCCGTAGTCTGAGCACCACCCAAACGGGATGTTCGGTTAAGTAGCAAGAGTGTTGAGTAATTAGTCAGGGCCAGGTTCGAGCCAACTCAGGTCCTCCCAGACTTGTGGGGTCAGGAGCCCGGCGACGGCTTCAAATTGGATCCGGTTGATCCAGATCCTCAGATCCCATTCTGCAGACCCCTCAATTACAGGTTCATTCCCCTGTGCTTGTTCGATCGGCGCACGACTTGCTGACATAGGCGTAACGTCCAACCACGGAGTCGACTGAGGCTGGAAGATTCCGCGCGTGCGCCTGTTGGCAGACTTTGTGGCTCAAGCTGTGAATGGCTTTGCCGGGACACCTGGCAATGCGAATGACGCGGTTTGCAGACTCAGTATTGCGGGCAGTGGGTCTTGAAATCCCAATGTTTGCGCGTGTGGTGTTGTGATTCCAGGAAGCCATAAGGCTTTGTCAGCAGCTAATTTGTGCAGCAAATTGAAGCCTCAGAAGAAACGACCTTGCTACACAGATTCATCAGATCATCAGCTGCCAAGAGCATAGTTCTGGTGGGGTCTGAGTGTGATTATGTAGCCAAAGTGGATATTATTCAGATGCTAAAGCTGTGATGCCCTGAACCTTTCGCATGCGGCGTGCCATCAATCGCATCATGTCCACTCACTCAACCAGATGTGCCGACACCTCCACTGCGAGAATGCTCATGTTAAGCCGGATCTTCTTCCAGCGCGTTCCAGAGGATCTGAACCCCCAAAGCCCATGTCAGCAAGGTGTTCCACGTCTGGGCGCAACCATGGGCAACCTGCGGTAGTTTTGGCCAACTTGCCAGGCCGTGGTGCCACGGATGCTGGAGCGGACTCGAATCGATAGGCTGAACAAGTCGATCACAGATCCTTTTTTTAATCCCAGGATTCATGTTTAAGCATGGGTCGCAGAGCCAATTGTTGCATGTCACGTGCAGCTCAGTGCCAAACCAGGGCGTGCGGACATTCCCTTGATCCTCAGGCAGTCGGGCAAGGGGGTTGGGACTCTTATTAAGTATAGACATGGATTATAGGGGCTCGGATCCTAATGTTTGAATGCAGGTAGTCAAGCCAGTGATTTGAGATGGAGTGTCGCGGTGTTTCTGTTCTGCTGTTCCGCAATAATAAGACTTTGCGATGCAGCCATAAACCGTACAGCAAAGGAGGCCCGACCGAGACCTCTTGTGGCTGCCTTTGCACTCCCAGGCTGTGACTGTTGCACGCTGCGACTAACACGACATTGAGACCCTGCTGTAATTTCAGGCTTAGCCCCAGACAGGTTAAGATTGTCTATGTCTAGTTCAATGAACGAGTTAGAACCTGTTAGCCGCATTTGAAGCTGCTTTTCTGTGCAGGACAATCCACCCTACGGACCGGATGGACATGACGATGGCGTGCCGGAAGACTATCGCATGGAGAACCTGGACCGACCAGACTCACTGTGCAAGCAATGATTCCTCTCGCGTTTTAATTTGGGAATGACTCACAAGCTGGAGATGGTGCGTGTATTCGGCACTCGTGAATGTGCAAGTAAACTCTGGAGCTGCATTGCCAATGAAAATGTTTGCCCGCATCCTTGTCGAAATCCGATTCTGGGGATCAAAGAGGAAGCCAGCAAAATTGTGTTGAAGTCTTCTTGTTTTTAGGTTGTATAATAAAAGCCATGCGTTCAGTTTAGCATTTGGCAGACCCTTGTGTCCAAATCTGGCTCGCTTCCCTGTAGAACAAGAAAGACTTAAACAGAACAGCAACGGCTGCAAAAGGAAACATATGCTGTTCTCGAGCTGGAGCCGCCATAGTGCACTTTGTGTACTGTGCTTGTACTGAAAGGTTGATACAGGTTGCGATTTTTGAGCTGGAGCTTTCATTTGACACCTCGAGTACAGCACTTTTACTGAAAGGCGACAATTGCTTGTGCTGGAACGGCCAAATCACACTTTGCGTGCTATACTTGCACTGATGAAGTCAATCCTCAACCTCAAGCTCAACCTGAACAGCTGCGATGTTCGGCTTGAGGGCGCACAGAAAGCACAAAGCGCTGTAAAATAATCCCGAATCACAAGCGACGACCAGATAAAGTGGGTAAGCAACCCCCATGGCTTGTTTGCAACCTCCTAGCAGCACCCAGGGCTCATAATGATAAATACGAAAATGCCCCCGCTGCTCAGCTTCCAATTTCAGGAGAGCAGCATGCCGGGACCTCAACCAAAACCGGGGCAAGTTGGCTCGTCGGATGCAGCATGGAGAAGGCGGTGTGAGGAACCTAGGCTCGATCTCTGTCAATGTCGCGCAACAGGGGTGCTTCAGAGGGCCCGCCATGGCCCGCCTGAGGCACGCTTTGCGGGGCTGGCTCATGAAGAATGCCTGGCCCCAAGTCACCAAGTCATTGCACATGGGGATAGGACGGGCGAAAGACTCATGGTTTGGGCGGTTCGAGCATTTGAGCACTAAGGGACACCTTCATCAATTACATGTCAGCCTACTCCAAAACAAGCGGTGCTTGATTATGAAAGTAACTAGAAATGGAAAGGTTATTACGAAAGAAGAATGACATGAAAGAAACCACATAATAAAAACATAAGAAAAATATAATAAAAATAAGATCATAAAGTAAAAGAAAGATGATAGGAAAAGAACATAACAATGCAAATACAAGAAAAATAATAATCAAATATGAAAAAGGAAAGACACAAGCAATATAAGATAAGCAAATAAACATAAAGAAAAGACAAATATAGGAAAGTTATTCCTGATCCAATAGATGACAGGTAATTCCAGGAATGAAAAGAATCTGCAAAGGATGGGATTCTTCTTGGCATAACATTAAATCGACTGATCTGTTCTTGTCACTTTCCAGAGACTTCTACATGGTGGCCTTGTGTGGGATTGCATTGCTTTGCTCTGCTGTGGCTGACCACCTGGTTTCATATGGAACATGGCACCATTGCGTGGTTGATTTCAAGCGGGGCGCATCAGTCTCATTTTATTGCCAAGGCTCTGATGAGTCAATGACTCTGACACCTTCCTTCGTGCCAAGTTGACGGATCTGTGTGTGCTTTACATGCTTGGGTTGTCTCCCCGCCTAACCAGTGATCTTGTAACATTGTTTTTGAAGGTCATGTTGATCGAGCTCTCGTGACTGCAGAATTGCGAATTTATGGTATGACTTATATGACTGCAGTGCGCTGCCTAGACCTACGAGTTCTTCCTCATGAAGTTTCGCATTGCCGCGAACTTTGTGCGACGTCATGCCGAAGCCAAGAGGACGGGTCGGCATGCAGCTGACCATGGCCTCGACAAAGCAGAAAGTACACGAAAGTACACTTCCAATAGCAAAGCAGGGAGCCAAGCCTATCCTGTGACTCAGGTTGAAACAAGGTAGGGGTCATGGTACTGTTGGGAGCTGGAGGTCTTGGCCCAAGACCGTTGCCCAATGGCTGACAGGCCGCGAAACAGAGCTCATGACAACTCCGGTCTCGAAAGAGGCACAGAAGACGACCAGAATCCGTTTTTGATTGTCGGACAGTCCGCACCAGTTGAGCATTTCTCAGCTTTTCTCAGGTGTGTGTTTCGAGGTGGATTTGGGCGCGCAATTTGATTGTCAATCGTATCAAGTGATGCGAAGAGATCTAACATGGCAAATCGTTTGGTGCCAAATATGTGGAAGGTGTGTTGTTGGATGTTGTTCCTTCCTCCACTTCATGGGCTGCGCGTTAAACAAATTCAGAAAGCCAAACTCCTCCAGACCAGTTATATTGTGCTGCTGATTGGAATATTGGGCTGATTGCAAATTCTTCCGTGGGGTTATAGTAGTGGTTTACGAGAAGGTGAACACATCTTGGATCTTCTGATTGTTGCCCCTTGAAACGACTCAGAGTCAGTTGTTGAATTTCTTGCTTCGGCCGGCCACGATTTCAGGATTGGAATCGTTGGTATCGGCTGGGGTGCGTGGATGGCATGCTACGGTGCAGGCCTTACGCATCTGCCAGCGACATCACAAGCAGACCATAGAACGCTTGACCTTTGACAACACAGCGGCAGAAACTTGTTTCGTAGGTTGTCATGGAGGGACTTATTCATTAGGCCATGCTTTGTTTGAGAGAGACTTATGGTTCGGCTGCTGGGAGCAGTAGATCTACTGAAACAGGTGTCCCTCTAACAAACAAAAATGGTGCTAGCACCAAGAATTCCTCCATTACATTTGCGGACGCATTGGCTTCACAGTAAATGGCTCCCGATTTGCTTACACTCCAGTCAAAATCCGGTTCAGAACCATGGGACGGAGATGGACAGGGAGCTGGCCCCAACCAACCCATGGCCATGTCTGCAAGACTTGTAGGTCACCTATGAGTAATATCCAAGTTGGTGACCTTAGGTGCAGAGTACCTGCAAGGCGAGTTCGCTTGCTCCGTGTTTGGGCGCTCAGAGTCCTGCCTTGAGCTGGGTTGGTCCCTAGGTAGTTCGAATCAACCTACCATTCTAAGCTCTAAGAAACATGTTTGGTCAACGGGGTTGGGGTTGCCGCGCTTCGTATGAAGGATCAATCAAGCTGGCCCGGCGCTGCCAACCTATCATGCGCGCGCTCGGGACCATCGGAACAGGCCCAGTCCCCATCTAGCGATAAATCTAGCGTCCCGCATGCCCAACATCCTGCAGCGTACATGTTGAGGCAACACTGGGCAAGTTCGCTGCACAAATGCGGTAAAACACAGATATACACAGATGTTTTGTGCGCATTAACAAAACATGATCATGTTTTCCAGGCGCCGCAAACTGCAGCGTAAGGGCCGTGGCGTTGGTCTCAACCAGTGTAGTGCGAAACCGGCCGATGTTGCGCAAAACAGCTCCCCCCAAGAACCACCCTCCTCCCGCCCTCGCGCCCGCAAGAGTGAAGTCGATGAAGCGCAAAGCAGGCGCACGCCTTGCACATGTGCGTAGCTGTGTTGCATGTGCGAAAACCCACTGTCGCAACATGTTGGACTCCACACATCTCATTGTCCTTTTTCATTGAGCCAATGTCCGTCATGGCGAGAGCTAACAGAATTCTTGCAATCCAGGCTCCCTTGTTGGCAATGCAAGTACAGCTTAGCTATCTTGTTGCAAGAGGCTATGAGCCATATTCAGCATCAACAGACATTGGCATCATACTGAATAGCCCAGATCCAACAGTTCAAGCTTTTGGTAGGTTGCAACAGGAGTCACTCACAGTCCCCTCAAGCCGATCAATCACCACCAAGTCTTACGACAGGGCAACTGGTTTTTCCTGGCTGCGCCACACTGGCATAAGCCACAGCCCCGTCAAGTTGAACTTGCGCCTTATCCCTGGAGAATCTGAGGATGCACACTCCGCTTATGCACATCTTGGGAGCCTGGGACGGTGTGAGTGTGGCACGGCTCATTGGGCCTGGGCGCCCAGCGCGAAAGATGTGAACCCCGGCAATGAATCTTTTGGGGTTCCATCCTCTCTTACCCCCTTAGCAACCTGGATTGGTGTTCGTGGGTTACCATTTCGCGAACGCCCACAAATGTGGCCCACGGCGGAATGCTGATCTTTGGATGCCACTAGCAATTGTTCACAATGCTTTCCATATTGGCCAAAGTAAAGCGCGGCACAGTTCCTTCACAGCGATGGAGCATCCTTTATACCGCCTGAATCTCATCTGGGGAGCCTGTTTAAGACATTTTGCAGAAGGAACCGACAGGTGTCGCTTTGCTTGGTCGATGATTTATGGCTATGCATGGATCCTGTTGCAGCCTCGCATGTTTGATGCTGCCTGTAAGTGTTTGGCGGCCACAAATGTTGCATGTTGATGCATCACATCATAGTCGAATGAGCATTTGGGTACTCCAGCTGCCGGTCCCAGGAAATGCGATGGCCCTGCGACAGCCTTACCTTTCGGGAGGGAGAAGGGAATGTAAGGATCGATAAAGCAAGGCGTGTTGTTCAGTTGCTGTGTTTAATGTTCACGGTTAACGTATCAACAGCATCAACGCATCAACAGGCTTTCTGGATTTTGACAGGATGTCAGGATGGGTATTGCGGGCTTTCAGATGACAGTTGTTTAAGTCAACAATGTTTTGCTGTTCTAGCTGAATGCTGAAATTGCCAATGAACACCATGATGGGCTGGAATGGATGAGTCCAAGAGAGGGCCGTAAATCACAAAAAGGCAAGAGACGAAGGATTTGCCAGTGTTGCTCTTGCCATGTCAAGTAAGTGGTGGTCACGCGCTACCCTTTCCAACTTTAGGTCACTGTTCGGACATATTTCAAGTGAGCTGGGTGTCACGGAACGCAGTGTTTTTGTAGAGACATGGCTTGTAGGAAGTGCCGATATCTTCATTCGAGCTCGGCTTCGGCTTTTGCGGCACTGACTGTGAATGCCATTTGAGTCAACGAACATGTCTTTGAGAAAGAGCCACAATTTGCGTCATACCAAATTCAGAATCCTTGAGTTGCGGTCGATACGTGCTTTCTTGCAAGTTGCAGCATGCGACCCTGACGATTGCTGAGATTCTGTTCACGCTTTCTACTGACGAGCCGAAGGAATACGAGCCAGGAGGACAGTCCTCCAAGCATGTCTTGCTTAGTGCTTACTGACTATTGATGACATGATACACCCGGCTCTAGCCAAACACGTGGCAAACAGAACATCCTGTGCGCTGTGAACAATTCACTCATCTAGTTGGATACATGGTCCTTCAGCTGGTGCAACTAGCAGTTGTTCTTCGCTGCCGTTGTACACGGCCACATTCATGGTGGAAGGCTGCTTTTGCCTGTGCTACTTGGCGCAAGGAGAGTTCTTTGCCGTGAATGAGACGAAATTTGTCAGGCTCCGTGTCTGCCGGTTGCATGTTGTACCCTTCGGCTTAACTAGACCATATCCACGTGCACACGGTTGGTATGATCCGTATTCTTCAGGGCTGTGGGCCCCGCCAAGAAACAGCTCCTCACAAGACAAGAAGGAGGTAATTCTTTGCTTGCTTGTGAGAACCATGGTTGTTTTACCGGGCAAACTAATACAGTAAGTGGTTTAGGAAGCTAGGATGTTCCAAAACCATGCCATGATCCCATCAAAGTAGGATCTTTGTCATCCCGAGTCCCGAGTCAGCTAAACTTATATTCACCAAGCCTCAAGCGGAACAGAGCACGAGCAATTGTATGATATGAGACAATGATTGGCTTGCCACTGTGAAGTTGTTGGTTTAGGGCCCGGCATCGTCCGACAGCGCTGCAGGCAGACGGAGTCTGACGATTTCAGGTCTATGCCAAACGGATTCGTGCCTTGCTCAGCTAACTGGGCGTCCTAACGATCTATTTGAAGCAGCATCATCATGAAGGCGCATGAGGTGGATGTTGCTCAGAGTTGGGCGGAATCACGCCATTTTGTGATGGTGCCAAGTTACGTTCCACTATGACGCCTTTAAATGTCACAGATCCCAGGTTATCCCGTGCTACATCACATATGCTTGCAAACCTCATTGAAGCCTGCCTCAGTTCTCAACCGCCGACTTCGAGGATCTCCAGCAGCAGGAGGCACTGGCATGTCGCGGTGTGTGAACGGCTTGATTTCCAGAAGGACCTCAATACTGTAATTATTAGGATGGGGCTGTGGGGGACTCAAAACCAAAGTATGTTACGCTCCTGGGAAAGGAATGTGTGTACTGATGTAGGTCGGGAGCTCAACCACAATCAATGGGGGTTTGTTCGAAGCTGTTTTGAAAGGGGATAGTGGAAAGATGGCAGCAGTGACTGGTAATGCTCCAGAATGTTTTTCTTGGCGTGTTGCAGCAACTGCCAGGGATAACGGAGCGCTTTCAGAACAAAGCCACACGATGCAACAATGCCAAATTGTGCAGTGGCAATGGTGGGAGTGATTGGTAGCCAAAGTTGTCGGGGCAAGACTTTGTTTAAACTTGAAAGCATGATGTTAAGACCACTGTTGTTTACAGAATCTCCAATCGTTTTTTTCTTTTGCTCACCGACGACAATTTAGCATGATGAGCCAACCAGGCAGCCCATCCCCAGAGTATTGGCTGCAGGCGATAGTGCGAGCTGAACTGCTGGCCTGTTTGAAGACGCGAGCTCGTTTGTTGCGTTGAAATGGCAAGCAAATGGATTTGTAGTGAGGCAGCTTGTCCAAATCAATGATTCCAACCAGCACTTCATCCGTTTCAAAAGGACACCATCCCACATCACTCAGTTCCCATGTTGAATTGTCTTCGAGCGTCAAACGTTGGCAGGTTGACGAGTGCGAAAGAGTATCCAAGGATTCCCTGCGACCGACGGGTTCGGGCCTTCAGCTTGGCCAGTTTAATCGCACCGCCGCCTTCCTGCGGAAGTTCCTCTGGCCCTTTCCGCCGCACGGCTGTAGTTTGCGAGCAGATCGGAGCGGATTGCCGGGGAATGGAAAGAATTAAGGGTCGTTGAGAGAAGCTTGAGCATTCCCTTCCCCACACCGTAGTGCAGGGTGTTGGTTACCAGTCGAGCATGATGTTCGAGCACGGCATAAAATCGGCCAGAAGTCGGGGATCTTGGTGTTGTTTGTGGCGCCTTCAGAATGAATGAAAGCTAGACAGACGCGAAAGAGGCCGTCGACATCCCTATTCATGCAGCGCATTCCCGATCAACTCCCTTGGCTTATGGCTTTCTCGCTGTCGCGCCTAAGGCAGTGAAAGTTTAGCTCGTCTTCACCCGATCTCAACGAGTGACGCACGCGCGCCAACACAGAACAAGTCTGACGAGTGCAAAGCTGACAATTTTCCGCACGGTTGCCTCCATTTGCGTTTTGGAACTTCCAAAATCGCAATTGCAATGGACACCGCCATCAAACTGAAACATTTGGAGGAACTCCAATGATCCTTCACTGTGAGGTTGGTCTGGACTCAGCCACACGTCAGTGCTGCACTGCTGCATGTGTTTGTTTTGTTGGGAACCGCCCTTTGGTTGCCTAATGTTGGCAAACGGATCTGAAACCAGGTCCTGAATTGAAGGCCGTCCACTTGTTTGTCTGACATGCTTCATATCTAGTGCCTGCTGCTGCCCAGGCTTGGTGGAGGCTACTCGTACTTGAGGCGCGTTGCCTTGGACAGAGTTTTGTGCATTCATTCAGTCGCAACGGGCAGAAACAGAAAGCTCACAATGTAGAAATGCCTTTTGCTTGGGCGATCAGGCATCCATCTAGGTCCAGAAACAGAGGGCAGTAGTGAACATGTCAATGTGTGGTTGAGTCCTGGCTTCCGATAGCTAGGCTAGGCCTCACGGCATAGCATTAGGGGGTCGTTGGACTTGAGCTTGCTGTATTTCCTCGGGATGCCGCTGGCACTATGTCCTTTTGATGGTTCGGTGAATGTCTGATGGCGTGCAAGGACACTTGGCGGCTTGTTTGGTTCTGTGATCAGAGGACGATGTTGATTCATGCCCGATGATTCAATCAGTTGTTGCAACCATGTGCGTTGACTGGAGCACGTGGTGGAAGGTGTTCATATGAAGACAATCTGCACAAAGCATGTTTGAGCTCCCCTTGGGGTAGACGAGATCACCCACTTGCTTTGGTTCTTCTTGTTTTTCGGTTTGTGAATTCTTGTTAGTTTGCGATCCAGTTGTCTCGGATTCTCAGGTATCAGAGCAGCAAAGGCGATGTAGAGCACATGAAGGCTGGCGTCTCGGTCAGCTCTTCAGCGAGGTCTCCGGGGCCTCCAGGGTTGTGGTTGCACGCGTCCGGATGTGTTGCGGCCTCACGTCCACCCCCAAGTTTTCTGGAGGTGTGGCTCAAAATGGATGACGCCAGAGGCAAGTTTGTTCCTTTTGCTCTGCTGGAGGTGGGTATCCTCCTGTCCACTAGCAAAGGGTCCATGTCAAGGCAAAAGTCTGTCTTCCAACCCCCCCCTTCCCAGTTCCATGTTAGTGGATAGGGTACCCTTTCTGTGAGCCACAGCATTCTGACTGGCCCGCCTCGGCTCGGGTCCCAACTCCGATTTCGGATTCCGAGGCCCTGCTGGACCTCGGTGTGCCCGCAGGCGGCAGGGACAGCAAGGACGAGGTGGAGCCGCGGCCTCGAGCGAATGAGACCTGAATGCGGCAATGACTGATTTTTTTTATACTTATGAAGTATACAGGCCCCCCTTACAAGTGGTTGGTGGACATGATTATCCCTTTTCCAACAATCATGGAAGTGGACTCCTGTCCACCTCCATGACAGTAAATGCCCAGGGTCGCTAGTTGCATAGCTGTTTGTGCATGTGTGTTTTTTGGAGTCCTTGTTGGGGCTGATTCCAAGGATTCAGTCCACAAGGCCAACCCTCTTCCAATCTTGGATCTGCTCTCGTTTCCAGGGATAAATCATTTGGTAGGGTGAGGCCAACCTGTTCAAAATGCGCAAACCCACTGTTCAAAGATTCTCAAGGCTTCCCATTTCCATGGCAACTGATTGCTTCAACACGTGCTGCAAGAGAGCCTGCAAATGAGCTTGTTGCAAAATGAGGTAATCCCCATAAATGGTGTTCCATTGGTTTTACTTTGAAGATTCAAGACATCGGCAACCATGCAATTCGTCTGACTGGATATATCGGTATGAATGTGAATCCGGCACTCCCTGATCGACATGAATTGCATCGGGACTGATTTTACCGCCAAGCATTATCAGGCTGCTTCTCCATCAAATTGGGAAGAAAACGGGAACACGTCCTGGTCAGGGGGCTATTCGGTATCAAAATAGGAGGACCGCCAAATTCGCGGTTTCCTTTTGGTTTGGAACACGCCACGAATCAAGAGACAAGCTGAGACGGGACAAAGCGAGCTCAGCCACAACAAGGTTCCTTACAGCAGGATTCCTGTTGACATTGAATCATCGCGACCCATGCAGAATGTATTTCCACGCGAGTTGGCTTCCTTTTGCTTGGGTGGGACCCTTGGTTGGTCCTTCATGATAGAAGTACTCATCCTAGTTTCGGAAGGCAGCAGTGTGACAACATCTCTGTTCAAGGAGAGCCTGCGAAGTTCCTGCTTAGTGCAAGTTCCTGATTTCCACTCCCTTGAACTGTCACTGGACAGAAGGGGGCCCTTGTTCCGCAGGCGTGCCGTTAGACGCAAGCATCACCAGCCGCCCGGCCACCCAACAACCGCCCATCCCCCTGGAAGAAGTTGCGGCGAAGATTCCTTGTCATTTTTGTTTCGAGGCAGCCTCCCATCATCTACGCCGCGCGGCAGGGCTACGGTGCTGCCTGCAAACTCCTGGTGGAGTACCAGGCGACACGGCAAGAGCTTGGCCACTATCAATGCTTCCAGGAAACTCTGGGTAGTTTAGGGTAGAACAGTGTTTTGTGTGATTCCTTGCCAAACGTTGGTTTGACATTTGGAAGTGCATCCGAGTTCCATCGAGTTCGGCAAAATCGGAGAGGTGCGACCAAAGATGTTTCATTGTATTGATGGGATAACGTGCTCACCCGCAATAGCAATGAGCCGGCACATGAAAGCACCATCCTGTGTCAAGCGTTTGTCTGAATGCATTGGGTGCCAGGCTGACGTCGACGAAATTGGCGGCATATCTCGCGAAACCGCGCTGCATGTGGCAGTGCAGCCGGGATCTCAGGTCTTCCACTGTCTCTCCGAATGGACCGTATCCATCAGGAACTTGATGCCAGGTAAAGCCCGCGTACGGAAAGTTGTTGTTTAGGATTGGCCGAAGGGCAGGGCCTCTTGCAAGCCAAGCAGTGCACTCGACTCATCAACAATGACATCTTGTCATTTTGTCTTTGCCACTCCACTGGGCAGCACAGTTCGACATGAGCTGTCGTGACAACTCATGACATTTAGGAGCAACACTTTCATGTTGGAAAGCTTGTGGAAATTCCCGTTGCTTGAGAACTCAGAGCGTTTTGACAATATTGCTGCAGGCACAACAAGTTCAAAGTCGTGCAGATCTTGCTGGCTCTTTGGCTGCAATTCAGCAGCGTCTTACATGAGAGTGGGACTGAAGCGGGTTGCGGCAAAAGGCTCTTGAACCGGCGGCAGTTGAAGCTCCTTCGTTTAAGTTTGTCCATCCCCTCAGAGACGACGAGTCCAAACCCGCATGACTTCCGAGGAAGGCTGTTGATTTCCAGTCTACAAATGAGTTCCTTCGAAGCGTACTTATCATTTGCCCTGATGACAAACATCGTGTAGGTTCGCGCGGTACTGACAAGGACTAACTTGAACTGTCCTTTGTTTAGAGGAAAACTAACAGGACGCTAGCTACTTGGACAGGCCCCTTAGTTTCCTAAAGCTGCTCCTACCACTCCTTTGGTCATTTTGGGGTGTGGGGGCCGGCTGAGGGAGGTGATATGTATAGAATTAGCTGCAATGCAATCCTGATCGTCAGAACCTGCGGGCGAATCCGCAGCTGCAAGACGCTGGAGGCGTTGCCTCCGCGATTTTGGCATTTGGCCAAGACGATGTGCCGTTTGTTGATTGCTTTGCTAAAGTTGGTTGAGTTGATGGACGTTTGTGTCGTGGATCACGTCTTGCATCGTGTCATTTGATCCCCCTCCCTGCTTTTCCGTTGCCCGTTGCCGACGCTGCCAATGGCAGTTTGGTTCTTGGGGTGAGCTTCAAAGCAGTTCTGGAACGTGAACTCGTTATGTTGCCAACTCTTTACAGCCGACATTCATTGACCTGTCAACCTTTTGGTTTTCCTGTGTGCATTCATTGTGAGTCCTGACCCCAAAAGGTCAGGCTTTATTTCTGGGATCTTTGGGCAAGCAAGTTTGAAAATGAAGGTCTCCAGATAGTGTAGACTTCGGGTTTTGAGGGGATTCATCACGTCCCACCAGAAGCCCTACAGGATCTCCCCAAAAAAGAAATAACATTCTACCATCTCGCACCACCTGGGTGGCATGTTGATTGAACATCCAGCCGTTGTCTTCCACAGGAATCCGCAAGCATCTCTGTTGTCAGGAGCCACCGAATGGGCAGCTTGCTTTTTCGTTGCGCAGGGTGGGTTGTAGCAGATGGTCAAAAGTTTGGACTGGTCGGACAAAGGCATCAGCCACTATTCCAAGCCAGATTCACACCAGCTAACCTTCAAGCGCTTTGTGGGGCTGGCCATGGCTATCACCTTACTACGTGACATTAGCCAAGTTGTAAGCTGAACTCTTGTGACTGGTGCATGGCTCGCCCATGGCCAGGGTTTGCCTTGCGGTAGGTCTTCGTCCCTGGGTGTCTCCCAAAATAGGTGACCCTGCGGTGACCCTCCAAAAAACTACATGCTAAGTGTCCCTTTCAACATCTAAAAGGAAGTCTCCAATTTCAAGACCAAGTCATTCTTCAACCAACCGAGAATTGGCTTCCCGTTTGACATCGTCCGAAAGAAAGCCCAAGGGACACCCACCACACGAAATGCAGCCAGTCCAAAGTTCATGCCCGAACCTTGGGCAAAGCACGGATCCCTGTCGGATTGCCCAAGGTTGGCAGGATTTGTGCCGCCCCCCAACTGCTTGCTGTTTCCCATGTCCAATCCCAAAAAGCAAAACTACAAGCGGTTGGGATGTGGGAGTTCTTCTGGCCAAGCGGCCAACAGCGCTTCGGAAGGCCAGGCGGCGCTGCACCGCGCGGCCCGCGAAGGGGCAGCCGGGGGCCCCACGTCGGCTCGCGGGTGGCCCGTGGGTCAGCGACATGGGAACTCATGGTCCGTCTGCATATATCTCCAAACCTCCTGTTTAAACCCAGCCCAAAAATCAAACAGGTACCTCGAAGAAAGACAATCCCATATAATTACTGCCAGGTGTGTGTGTGTGTGCTTAGTGTGTGTGTGTGTGTGTCACGAGGGTGTCGCAGACAGTCGCAACCTCAGGGACAATTTTCCACAACCAGGGATTCGAGGACATCAACCCAGTTTCCGCCTTGGATCACAGCGAGGAAATCCCAAGACCTGCGTCAGGGGATCCTTTGAGCTGGTGAATGTAGTGCGCAAAATTCCAAAATGTATCCTGGAAGCAATCCTAAAGCAATTTCAGCAAAACCAGCCATTCTGGATCTGTGCCCGCCCTCCCCACCCGAAAATTCCGAAAGATTTGATATGGACTGAAGGGCACCTCAGAAGAGCCGCGGACGGAGCGCTGAGATGCACAGCCTCCAGACTCTGCTTAGCGCGGCGGCCTTTGTGGACCCAAGGCACGGAAAAACAAAAACGTTCAAGGGACAGTCTCGGGGGAGCTGGGCTGTGCCTTGCTTTCTGAGTTAGCTTCTCTTGCTCTTGCCAGGCTTGGGAATGAATTTCGGGTTTAGGGTGGGGCAGAGTTTCTGCACGTGCCAGGGACACCTGCGAACAGACGCCTGTGCACATTGGCTGCTTCTTCGGCCGCGTGAGCCCGGCGCATTTCGCCTATAGCGATGGGAGGGGATCAGAGATCAAAGCTCCATAGCAAAGGCCGACTCTGGCGAGAGAAAGGCATGGCTTTGGCCATTGACAATGGGACTGGTGATGCGGTGCGCGGTTCGGGTTGCAACTCTGCTTACAGTAAGGTTGCAGAAGGTTCGAACGCTGCTCACCAGGTGCTGCTTCATGAGCTTGTGGTTGGCAACAGAGTGACTCTGTTGCCAGTCCTCGTTGCAGAGGTTGAGTTCCCTTTGAATGCCTTTTCGAATTCTTGTTGGTCTGCCAGGAAGAGATGGTGGGGAAGCTGCTTGCTGCCCGGGCTGATGCCAGACCTTCAGCGCAGACGAGATTTCACCTGACACGTTTGTTCTTATCCAAATACGGAGGATGAGGAGGCTCCTATCTTCTGGCGACATTGAGCCATTCGAAAGAGCTGTCTTCACATGGGGAGCCACCACTCAGAGTGGAACGAAGGGAGCTGCAGCCACCTCGTTCCACAGTTCACTTGCAGTACATCAGAGATGATATCCAGTTGCCCATTCTTGGATTGGGAAAAGTGCTCCTTGTGACCCGTTGGGCTTGTCCGTGGGATGGACTCAACAACCCACCCTGGCTGGTTTCCAGCACAAGTTCAGGGCTCAGGAAAACAATTAACAAGGGTCCTGAGGCCGCTTTGATAGGAGCATCTATGCCACCATGCATGAGTTACACAGTCCGTCCAGGGAATGGTGAAGCACAGGCTCAGCTCAGCATACACGCTCAGCATGGCATATGCCTCGGATGGCATTGGTGTGTGCCTCATCCAGCAGTTCATCTTCAGAAAAGAAGATGCCAATATCACCAAGCATGTCCAGAGTGAACTGGGTGTTTTCCATTTCACAACTGGGTGTTTTGTTAGCTGGTGCTTTTATGCTGGTGCTGTGCCTTGCCGCTGTGCAGCTTTTGTTGACACAACCATACACCGCATCACCCTCTTCCTGGCAACACGGTATCCAATATCGTCAGCTACTTGACAGGCCTGAATCTGCCACCCCTGCAAGCTGAAATTGTCCCTTCTGCAGCTTGGGGCCTTGCAATTTAGCTTTCTTCCGGGCATTGCTGCAGTCTTGCACAAGTAGTCAGTTTCAGGAATTGTTTTTGGCGCCGTGCGACTGACAACAGGAAGGACGCCTTGAAGTACACCCCCCCTGCCAGCGTTGAACAAGCTCGCGCAAGGCCACACATGCTAGCATTACAGAAGGGCCTTTCCTTTGCTGCAAAAACATTTGCATTCTATGGCTGCTTAAATTGCGGTTCCTCTTCCCTTTCTACAGTTCCTTTGGAGCAGGAAGTGCCGCTTGCGGCCTTCGCAAAGGGCCCACCAGCAAGCTTGCAGGACCTCCTCTTAGTGACAAAAAATGTCTCCCAATAAAACAAACAGGTTCGCCAAGCACCCCAACATCTACCAACCAGCCCCCTGAGCCCTCCCAACTATGACTGAAGTAATTAGCAACCCACCTTACATTCCCTGGAAAGAGTGTTCCAAGTCAATAACTTTGAAAGTAGATTCAGCCTGAAGCTAACTAACTATGATTTTTGTGTGACTGAAAGTTGCAGCCTTGCATACTCTCAAGGCCTTGGAAGGTGGGAGACCTTCCGTAAGATTGTAAGAACATGTGTGCGACCGAAACCCTAAAACATAGGGGTCCTCTAATAGTAGAGCCATTCATGTCCCTTACATCTTGTTTTCACGCGTGCTGTCGTTTATCACTTGTGGGGCATGGTTTCGGGGTCGCACTCGGGTCAACATTCATTTTTTAAAAATGCCAGCGCGACCGAGGCCCCAGAACAGTGCCGGCTCAATCATAAATGGCTCAACGCGGTGTCCCAAGCCAATCAGGCTAAGCTTTCAACCTTGTGTTGTTTGTTGCGCATGCGCACGTGTGCAAGAGCCCGCAAAAGCCATGCCCGGGCTCCAAATGAAAAGCCCTCGCGCAAGCCGTACTGTAGCCTGTAGCAGCATTATCACTTAATCAAGGCGAGGCTTCTTGAGGGTACCTGTTCCATACTCTCGCACTGATCACCACCGTGCAGCCAGCTAATGTGGGTGTTGCAGCACAGCAAGTCCAAGTAAAGAACAGTCAAGCAGTCATTGCTTCATCAGGTGCGGGCAACAGGCTGCTAGCCAAGGGCCTGCTTGGGCAGCTGCTGGCAGGCTGAAAGTTAATTCTGGGAGTTTGAGGTTTGACAAAACCGTACTCTGCGATATGCTACGTTGCGTGCTTGAGGGCAACTATTTGTGCTGGTGCCCATTTGATGTGCGAGTTCTCGCTGGGTGTCTCTGTCCATTCGCCTCATTCATTTCATGAAAACAGACACCGTTTTCTGCGTAGTGTTGCATTGATGAACGGGGCTACCACAATTTGGCTCAACCAGCCAACTTGGATCTTGAAGAGTAACATATTTTCCTGGCCAACTTGGCTCAACCAGCCAACTCGGACCTGACAAAGTGACGGATTTTCCTGGCCAGGCTCAATCAGCCAACTCGGATCTGTCAGTGTGACGGGCTTTCCTACTTGGTTCAACAAGCCAACTCGGATCTGGCAAAGTGACGGGGTTTCCAGAAACCCAGTCACAAAACCCCAGCCAAATGCGTTCAACCAGCCAACTTGCGTGCCTCAGAACAGATCACAACTCCTGACCCCTCAGTCCAAGTGAAATCGTGACTGGGTTTCCAGAAACCCAGTCACAAATTGTGGCCTTTGTGGCAAACCAGTCGCACCTGCTGCACTCCGTCCACCATCAGATGTGTGATGGGTGTTCAAGTTCAAGGCTAAATTGTGACTGGGTTTCTGGAAACCCAGTCACGATTTCACTTGGACTGAGGGGTCAGGAGTTGTGATCTGTTCTGAGGCACGCAAGTTGGCTGGTTGAACGCATTTGGCTGGGGTTTTGTGACTGGGTTTCTGGAAACCCCGTCACTCTGCCAGATCCGAGTTGGCTTGTTGAACCAAGTTGGCCAGGAAAATCCGTCACTTTGTCAGGTCCGAGTTGGCTGGTTGAGCCGAGTTGGCCAGGCAACCGTCACTCTGCCAGATACCCCCCATCATTGATGTAACACTACGCAGGAACGGTGCTTGTTCATGAAATGAGTGAGGCGAATGGACAGAGACACCCAGCGCAAACTCGCACATCAAATGGGCACCAGCACAAATAGTTGCCCTCAAGCACGCAAGGTAGCATATCGTAGCGTACGGTTTTGTCAAGCCTCAAACTCCCAGAATTAACTTTCAGCCTGCCAGCAGCTGCCCAAGCAGGCACTTGGCTAGCAGCCTGTCGCCCGCACCTGATGAAGCAATGACTGCTTGACTGTTCTTTACTTGGACTTGCTGTGCTGCAACACCCACATTAGCTGGCTGCACGGTGGTGATCAGTGCGAGAGTATGGAACAGGTACCCTCAAGAAGCCTCGCCTTGATTAAGTGATAATGCTGCTACAGGCTACAGTACGGCTTGCGCGAGGGCTTTTCATTTGGAGCCCGGGCATGGCTTTTGCGGGCTCTTGCACACGTGTGCATGCGCAACAAACAACACAAGGTTGAAAGCTTAGCCTGATTGGCTTGGGACACCGCGTTGAGCCATTTATGATTGAGCCGGCACTGTTCTGGGGCCTCGGTCGCGCTGGCATTTTTAAAAAAATGAATGTTGACCCGAGTGCGACCCCGAAACCATGCCCCACAAGTGATAAACGACAGCACGCGTGAAAACAAGATGTAAGGGACATGAATGGCTCTACTTTTAGAGGACCCCTATGTTTAAGGGTTTCGGTCGCACACATGTTCTTACAATCTTACGGAAGGTCTCCCACCTTCCAAGGCCTTGAGAGTTTGCAAGGCCGCAACTTTCAGTCACACAAAAATCATAGTTAGTTAGCTTCAGGCTGAATCTACTTTCAAAATTATTGACTTGGAACACTCTTTCCAGGGAATGTAAGGTGGGTTGCTAATTACTTCAGTCATAGTTGGGAGGGCTCAGGGGGCTGGTTGGCAGATGTCGGGGGGCTTGAGGCAGCAAGCTGAATCAGAGCTACCCTTGTTTATCATTCATTAGGTGAGTAAACAAACAGTTCATGACATGCGTCCCTGCGGCCGGCGGCTGGAAGTGTCTTGGGCATTAGCGGGATGTTGCTGGCTCCGCTTCTTGGTCCGAAAGAACTGCAAAAGTGCAGCTGAACTGCAACACAAGCAGCCATAGAAAGCAAACGTCCGTGCAGCAAAGAAAACCCTACCGTAATGCTTGCATGTGTGGCTTCGCTGGCATCGACGGGGATACTTCAAGGCATCCTTTCTGTTGTCAGTCGCATGGCTCCAAACACAATTTCTGAAAGTTATGACTCGCGCAAGACTGCAGCAATGTCCGGATCAAAACTAAATTGCAAGGCCCCAAGGCTGCCGAAGGGGCGACTTAAGCTTGCAGGGGCAGCAAATCGAAGCCGGTCAAGTAGCTGACCATCAGGGATGCTGCGTTGCCAGGAAGAGGGTGATGCAGAGTAAAAAGCAGGATGCCGCAAACAAATGCATGGTTTTGCATTTGGATTAACCAAGAGTCAACAATGGGAACGCACATCTTTGCTCAAAAACAGGTGCACAGCAGCAAGGCATAAAACCAACACACAAGCACCAGCCAGCAAAACATCCAGTTACAAAATGGAAAACACCCACTTCACTCTGGACGTGCTTCACCTTGATACTCGCATGATGCGCCAGTAATCGCCTTGAACTGTCTCACCTGTGATCTTGAGTTGTCATGTTGGTATGCTGCTTTGTTTGTGTGAGTGAGTTGTGGTTGGGTAGCGTTGCGGTTGGGCTGAATGATGTTTGTGCTGTATGCTGTCGACACTAGGACAATACACACACACAGGTACCGAACGTCTGAGTTTGTTGAACTTCTCTGTGTTTGTCTTCACCCCAAAGTGCCCCATGCCCAGCAAGCATGAAGTGGCGACGTTGGTAAGGTGATGGCCGAGGACATCCGTGGCCAAACGCCGCGGAAGGCGCTGGGAGATCGACTGTCTCGCATTTGTACGGGGCACGTGGGGGGTGAAGACAAACACAAAAGAGTTCAACAAAATCCAAGAGGAGGTCAGCCATTTTGAGGCATCTCGGATTTTGCGACAAAGCCGGATTTGGCTATTCGCAGCAAACATCTAAAACTGTTGGTCTGTATTGAAGGGCAGAAGGAATTCACTGCGCTTCGACCAGTGTGCTTCCTGTGCCACAATTATACTGACAAGTTGCCATTTTCGACCTTAGCTGCTAAAATGCACTTGGCGGAAGAGTTGCGATTGTTGAGCAAACATACCTTGCATACCACGCACTGGATGTGTTGTGTGAAATACTGAGAACTGATAGGGGGGGGGGGGGCAGGGCAAACTACCGGCGTCCATATCGAAGATAATTCGTCGTTGACTCGTGTGTTCACTCGTCGAGGGGGGTTCGTAGGAATTCAGACCAAGTGACCCCCATTTACAAGTGACTAGAGTTGCTTGGAAGCGTGTTCAACGGTTAGTACGCGATGGTACTCTTTGACGCGGCTTCTTATGTGGAGGTTGCCTGACTTGTGCATTATGGACATCACCAATTATACATCATCGTGGTCAGCTGAAGTGTTTATTGTTCTTCTAATAAAGTGGCAGTGTTGTTTTGAGCTTCCAAACAAATAAGTTGAAGTCGACTTGAGTTGTAGCAACTGGGAAGAGGTGGCATGTGATGCATAGGCTTGGGAGGCAGTTGTTGCCCTTGCTGTGAAGGGTGACAGATTGACCACGTTTGAGCGGTCCGAACATCTCACAGTTGAAGCTCCAGGAAAGTTATTCGCCCTCAATTGCAGTTGCAAGAGTGTTCAGTAGGAAAACGCTCTCACCATCCCATTTTGAGGAAGTTCGACGCTATGCCTGACTCTGCAGTGTCGGTGTGTCTCGATAGAGCTCGACAAGTTCTTTCGCATTTGAAGTGACTCGAGTAGCTTAATACTTGAGCAGCACAAGAATATTGGAACAGGAACAGGGGATGTTTTTTGTGTTGTACTAGCCAACTTTGGAATGGAGCAAAGCGGCATTGCACTTGCACAACATGACATGGGAAAATTTCTCGCATTTTCTGGTGAATGCTTGGGTGGACGCCATTTTGCCAGACACAGGAGCCATCAGTTCACTCGATGCTCAGCGGCATAAACACACTGTGTGAAGATGGCGATGCAAGTGGTATATGGCTTTTTGCGAACATGCTCCTTGCTTGCTTCATTGAGCCAGGTGTCAGACAAGCACAACTACTCCACCCTTGTTCAGCTGATCGACAGGGAGATTGAAAAGCGGGAGGCGCACCTGAATCAGACTAACAGATAGATGCAGGAGATGAACATTATGGTGACCCCGGATTCACAAGCGCCTTGTTGAATGGTTGCTGGTGTCTATTTGTGTATTCAACAAAAGCGCTGTTTTGGCTCCGCTTGATAATTGCAGCATTGCATGATTTGTTCAACGAGAAGGAAATCCCGTTCCTTTTAGGTTTGCATGAAGACTCTCACTGTCTCCACAAGATCCCAGGCACACATCGTGAAGTCACAATCCTCAATCAAAAGGCTAGCGGGCCAAACTGAGGGTCCCAGACATGGTGGGGTGTCAAATTTGCACCACTTGGCGTGAGGAACTTGAACTCTTCGTTTCTCCCCGAAACGACGGCGCGACGCATCTGCCGCATCTGCCAGATCGAAGAGCACTACGCCAATGAGGAGCGAGAGAAGCAGGAACAGCTCCAGGCTACGAGCGGGGAGAAATGACCTAGGGCTACTCCACGAAAGATTAGCATGGAGCCCCAGAACTGTCCATTTTAAGAGGAATTTCCTTTTTGGGGGCCCCCGTTTTGGGTTCCTTCTTATTTTGCAGGGAAGTGATTTGTAGTTTGACAAACGGCCGTGCAAAGCACCCAGAGGTGTCGATTAGCAGGGAATTGAGAAAGCCATGGCAAAGGCTCGGCACAGAAGCTTTGACCATGGCACATGAACAACTTATTGGTTTGTTGACGCATACAGCGGCCAGATCAAGCTTCGGCAGGCCCGAGGCACACCCAGAGTTGCGCACGTGATGTGTGATGCGGCACTTGTTACATCTTGTTACGATGAAATCTGCAGGAGTTGATTGATCTACGGCCCCTGATTGCTTTCTGATTGCCGGACATTTTTGTGTGTTGTTTGCTCCTTGCAAGAGGACACTGACTTCTTATTTATGCTGCAATGCCGCGTTGATATAGTATGATGATGTAAAGAGCTTTGCAGCGGGCGCTGGGATGCTATTTTCCATTGTCAACTGGCATGAGAAAGGCAGGCTTAACGACATCGCCGCATTGGAGATGTCGCAGTCCGCCTCTAGTATGGATGGCTTCCCTCAGAGCATGCAGGCCTCCCTGTCGCTTTGCAGTTTGCAGTATCAGTAGAGTCCACGATGATATGCTTTACGTTTTCCCAAGTGTTCCAATGGCACCCCTTTCTTCGTGGACTTCCCTTTTGCAACACTACAACCAAGGCAGGGTGTTGTTGTTGGTGTTGATTGTTTTCTCTTATGGCTGCCAGGAAAGTCTCAGCCCAGTTGCATCTTGAGGCATGTTTGCTTCGCAAGGCAGCGCAGAGCATGAAGGCTCCCTTGAAGACCATGATCGAAATGGACGACAGGCAGCATCCGGTCTGACGTTGTTTGTTGCGACCCAGTATGTTGATGCATGTACCTTTAAAATAATTCACTCGGAAATCCTGGGCAAGAAGATCCCCAGCTTCAGGGGAATGTTGGCAGCCTTGAGTCAGCTGATGCACGTTGAGTGGACTCTGCACCACAAAGCCATCGGCGGCTTGGACATTCAGCCCGAACCATTGTTCATCGTCAAAACAGAACAGGCTACCTGTGGCCTTAAGAGCAGAAGCGATAAATGTTGGCTGATCCAAACGCGCCTTAGCCATTGCCTGATTCAAGCGCAAGACCTGAGCAGATACCTATATCATGCTGGTGTGGGCCTGCTAAACGACAGGCATAGATTGCTACGACATGGTCCAGATTGAGTCTTATTTTGTGCCAAATTATACTTTAGAGCCTCCGGCTCAGTCCGCCGACATTGTCCTCTCCCTTGTCTCCCTCGTGTGTTCTGTCGTCCTCTGTCCCTCCGTTTGCTCCCCATCCTCCCCATTGCCCCCAAGCCTCTCCCTCCTGAATCTCCCTCTCTCTATCTCTCTCTGTCTCTCTCTCTATCTCTCTCTCTCTCTCTCTCTCTCTGTCCGTGTCTCTCTCGCTCTCTCTCTCTCTCTCTCTCTCTCTCTCTGTTTCTCTGTCTCTTTCTGTCTGCCTGTCTCCTTCCTGTCCACGCCCCTCTACAGAAAAAGGGTACCCTAATTCTTCCCTCTCTACTGGAGGACCTAGTCTCTCTTTCTCGCTCTTTCTCTCTGTCTCTCTCTCTCTCTGTCTTTCTGTGTCTCTCTTTCTCTGTCTCTCTCTTTTTTTTTCTCTCTCTCTCTCTCTCTGTCTCTCTGTCTGTCTCTTTCTCTGTCTCTTTCTCTGACTCTGGCTCTGTCTCTGTCTCGCTCTGTCTCTCTTTCTCGCTCTCTGTGTCTCTCTCTCTCTCTCTCTCCCTCTCTCTCTCTCTCTCCCGCTCTCTCCCTGTCTCTCTCTCTCTCTCTCTCTGCATTGCAGCGTCACGTCCCCCCTGAGTTGCTTCGATATCCCGGCACTGCCCCTTCATGACCCTGAACTGTCATCTCACTACTGGCTTTCCCCTTGATTTCCCCTTCATGTCCTTTTCACGTTTCCCGTGATGTCCCGGTCATGTCCTTTTCACGTTTCCCGTGATGTCCTGGTCATGTCCCTACCATTCCTTTCAACTCCCCCTTCATGTCCCTGACATTCTCTCGGTATGTCACGGTATGTCCGTGTCATTTTCCATGTATGTCCCGTTTTCCACACCGGCTCCCCAAAGACTACGTTTAGTGGAACGTCAGCAAATCGCCGGGAGGGGGGGGGGGGTACACGAAACCCTGCGTCCCAGGTGGGGACTAAGGGGGGGGTTATCCTCTATCGTCTCTTAGGTATCCGACACGCCGAACAATGTCGGCGGATATATGATTGGCTTGATCTTCGTTCTTTTGGAAAGTCCCCAAGGGCCCAAGGAACCGTTTTGACACATCGCCACCTGGCCAATCCGACCGATGTTTGCCGTGTGCGCTCCACGCTTCGCTGGAATCCCCCACGCCCCGAGCGCGGTTTCGTGCAGAGCTGCGGGCGGCCGGGATGTGCCGGGCTGGATGCGCCTTGCGGCTGCACACGCGGAAGTTGCTTGAAGAACCAGACACTAGCCATTTTGCTTGGGGAATCAAAAGCAGATTGTTTCAACGAGGGTTGTTTCAACATGTTCAAACAAATGTGCAAAAAGCGGCGGAGTCGGTTTGCACATAGTCTGGGTAGAGTCGACTCGAGCGACATGAGATCTCGCAGGTGTGGGCAATTTCGCTGAGCATGTCATGGCCTGCACCAACGAAAGCCATGGTCCAGTCGGGTCCCTGCTATGTGAGGAAGGGTGGTTGGGCGATTTATGCGAGTTTCCCCATGGAAAAGCAGAAATACATAGCATACTCTTGGGTTGATGACCGCCATTTACGAGGAGCAGACCCATCTTGGTGGCAGCGGCTGGAGTGGCAACTGGAGGAGGCATGGTGGTCCGACGCCTTTGTGACAGAACGCCCCAGATTCCATACGATGACTTGATGCTTGCTTGAGGCACCCGGCAAGGACCTTATTGAATGTGTTGATTGAAGACTCTTTGGCTTGACTTTGCCCAGCTTGCAGAGAAGACTTTGCGCCCCGAGGTTGTCCACGCACATTTATGCGCTGCTCAGTGCCCTTTGAGTTGCCCCTCCAATGAGCCTATTTGGGGCAGGTTGTCCTATTTTTCTTTGGTTGATGGTCCAAATTTGGGGACCAACCGGAATGTCCTAGAGTCAAGGGCCTGAATATTGGGCAACGATTGCTGCATTGCATTGGGAAACAATCTCCGACAAATTCCCAGTTGCACGTTGAAACCCTATTTTCCAGTGCCGTTTAGGCGCCTGCAGGCTTTGGCAGTCCACATGTTTGTGCAGCAGAACGTATCACTCCGAACACACACACGCGCGCGCGCGCGCACACACACACACACACACACACACACACACACACACACACACACACACACACACACACACACACACACACACACACACACACACACACACACACACACACACACACACACACACACACACACTTGTTTCGCTCATCGCCGCGCGCGCTGCTTAGGACCAGTATGCTGCAGGATGTGTTACTACTTTTATTTTTGGCCCTTGTGCCATGGTAGAAACGCCCTTGTTTTTCTTGGCTGGTAGGAATGCTCGTGGCGGTTTTCTTTTGGTGTCCCTTTGAAGAATGAACAATACACCGACTCGAAAAAGATACGCTCAGGCGGTATCCCCAACAGCATGAGGCACCTTTGCGCGCACTCCTCAGAGTTGGCCCCATGCCAAGCATCCCCCCCCCCAAACCGGAACCCTCCTCGGAACCGCCACGTGCATCCCCGAAACCCTCCTCGGAACCCTACCTCAGCAAATACATGGGAAAACACACTCACATAGGCGCTGCCGACACCATTTTTGAGCGGAAGGCTGTGACCTGGTGCTGGGCCTTGTGGGTTTGGGCCCTGCGCCGCGCCGGCCGGTCCGCGCCCAAGAAGTACCGGCGGCTCGGCCGGTGCCGACTTCGAGGTGCTACATGAAGGTTGGAGAATGAGCCAGAAGCGTGATTTAACTATTTGACTTGCAGCTGATGATTTGTGCAAACTCGCCAAATGGAGGGGCACGTGTGATGCAGTGGCAACGCTTTCAGTTTCAGTTTTTGACTGTCGAAAAGGAGACACCGTTCTTGGCTGAAGGGAATCCAACAGGGAACCAACCATAGGTGGAGTCGCGTTATGCAAGGGCTATTCAGTTTGGTTGATTTCATGTGGCGAGGTGCGGTTGGACCTGCCAGAGCAAAGATTGCTATATTCAGTAGTGTTGAATGTGAATGAGGAGTACGGGCCAGTAGGGCAGGGAACAAGGGAGCCAGTGCTTCAACCAACATGCAAGTGACAGAATCGTCCAAGCGTGTCACTCATGTATTGCTGTTTGTCGTGCCGAAGGGCCATTGGGTGTTAAGGTTTGCTGGATGGAGGCGCTGCGCCAATTCAACCATCTATATTCACAATCCACTTTCACAGCAAGTGACATCGCTGAAAAGACAAAGTCCTTGAACAGCAACGAAGAGCGGTCACAACAGACACTGTATAGGAAGCCAGCCTGGAACCGCGTTTGGAGCATAAATTGCCTTTGACACCTTTTGCCTTTGAGGTCCAATAGGTTTCTGAGAAAGACCCACCACCACCACCCGGAATTATTCCGAGGACAGACCGCCAGGATGTGCAGAGCTTTAACAGTCGCTGCTTGCCCTGCAACGCGGTGGGCTGGAGTCTCCTTTCGGTTCACCCATGAGTCAATCACGAGGCAGTTTTGAATGGAATGAAAGGGATTTGCATTGATACACAACTAGCCAACGGGGAGCTAGCATGATCCAATAATTTTGACAGAGTTGTTGTGGACTTTCACTTTTCCATGAAAGGTTCTGGAAGAAACGGCTTTTCTATCGGGTTTACTAGGCCACTTCGGAAGACTGTGGGAACGAACCCCCAAACAATTTGGGCGAAAGTCGGCGAACAAGCGCGAGAACTGTGGGCCTATCTTTTAGCAGCTTGATTGGCCCCGTTCCTCTTCATTACAATTCGAGTCACAAGGTGAAACAAGTACGAGATGTCTCCATGAGCTGTTGCCGACAATCCCCTCTGGTTTAAAAATCATGTGGACCCTTTTAGAGAGTTGTGTTGCGGCCTGATGTTTCAATGGCAGATGGGGTTGAAAGGGGCTTCGTTCAGCATAAATGGGAGATATCAGGCACCCTGTCAGGTTACACCCTGCTCAGCTACGCCATGATGGCCAGTGACGAGAAGAAGTACAACACCTTCCGGCGCGCCCTTCAGGCAGAGAAACGTCGCAATGGCGGCTCGGTCACATACTAGCCTTCAGGGACCCTCGGAACCTTCTAAGGAGCATCCCAGGATACTTGGACCCTTGGGTTGATGGCGTTTCGGTGTTTTGTCTTCTTGTTGTGTTTGACTATTTCGATGCTAGCGAGCAGCAGCTCCGAACTTTTTCGGACCTAGCATCTTGCCCTCGCCCTCCTTGCCAACCGCAGAAGTCAAGCGGGAAAAGAGCAGGAACCAGGCACCTGGCATGCATTGTTTGCGCTTGGCTCCTACATGGGGAACACGCAAAACCTTGTAGTTTCTCTTAAACACAGCCCCCAAGAGCGTAGCCTCAAACTATACGACACTCCCAGCTAGATGGATCTGCATCAATGACAGCAACCGATCGCACCCAGCCCACACAAGCAATTTGTGAAGGTCAGGAGAGTGCTTTGGCATCCTGTGGCAGTCGCCACGCGTATATGACGTGGAGGAAGTTGGTAACTTCACACCAATCAAAGACAGATACAGCCTACGATAAAGTGGTCGAATAAGTCAGTTGGAGCCATACAAACAACTGAGGAGCACCAACAACCTAGCAGGAGGCCTGCCAACAGCATAACGCCACAGTCAGAACGCTTTCTTGGGGATGGGCGCGGCACAAATGAGCTTTCAGTCTCAACAACTTTGGGGGGAGCTGAGTGAACTTGGCCGCTTAGAGTGTGGGTTCCCCGACGGCACGGTAAGATTGCGCGTATCCGATGACACCCGCGTATCCGTATGGGAGACAACGGAGCACATCCTTCCGGGAGCGCATGACGCATGTTTCAAGATGTAAGATGTTTCAACGGGTCGCAGTGACAGAGCTAAGGCGATCTGGCTGTCTTGGAGATCGGCTGCGGCGCCTATGCTCCTTTCGCGCGCCTGTGTGTGGAGGAAGGAGCCAAGGTGCCGTTCACGTACATGTCTCATGCAGCCCGGTGTGTGTGTGTGTGTGTGCGGTTGGTTTGAGCTTTGTAGGACAAAGCGAGACCGACGACTGTCACGGGCTGGGATTAGGGTACGCCCAAATCGTGCGCCATATTTTCCGCACCTTCCAATTGTTCGGAATCAAACTTATCCTCACACCACACAGCCACACCCGAAAAGAACCAATACCCACAGGCAAACACACCTTAACGTGCACACCCACACAGACATACACACATGTACGTATAGAAACGCGCACGCACACACACATACGATACGCGCACACATACACACAAGTTCTTGCTCGCTTAATCCCGCCACGCACGCACGCATGCATGCACACAGGCGCACGAAAGTTCACACGCGTATCTTGCACGTGTACGTGCACGCACACCACAACACACCAGAAACACCAGGCGCATGATCAGCTGCCAATTAATTGATTAAATTTGCCAGCACAGTTCAAGGCAGATATGTGATATAAGCACATTTGACAAGTTTGCTTGCATCTCGTGCCAGCGCCCCATTCAGGTGGTGGCCGTGGAGGGCAACGCATGGGCAGCCGCCCGTGCGGCGCGCACCTCATTGCAGGTGCTAGGAATCGGAATCGGAGGCCTTGTGCTCTTGGGCATTGCGAATAAACATGACCTCAACTCCAGTCTGCTTGTGTTAGTTGTCCTAACAGGTTGCAATTTGCAGTTTGCTGTAGTTGTTTGTCGAAGATGTCAGGATTCACGTTTTGCATTGCGTTCAATGTTGCACCCATCATGTTTGCTTACCAATGTCTCTTTTTGGTTTGTGTAGGTCAGTCAAGCACTCCAAGTCTGTAGGTCAGTCAAGCACTCCAAGTCTGTGCACATTCCTTGCTTCCGGCACACCCAATAGACTTTGCCTTGGAGAAAGGTGTTGATCTCCCCTCTTTGCCAGTTGTTTGCGGGTGCAAGCTCAGGTCTTCATTGTGTTAGTTTGCACCAGCTGCTTCTGGAGTGCTTGTTTGTTCTATGTGGCCTTGCAGGATCGAATGCACCGGATCGAATGCCCCTGACTGCTGCTTCCAAGATTGCTTGCTGGGGGAAAATACAAAGCATGGAACATCGTCGAAGGAGGGTTGTTTGAAATTCCGCCCTGGATGGCTCGCTTTGCAGGTGTTTGCTGGCCTATCGCAGCAGCTGAATGTGACGGACCTGACTTTCGCCCCCAATGTCCAATGGCAGCAGCCAGGGGCCAGTCGTGCTTCACATGTTTGCCATGTTGGCCTTACCACTGAGCATTGGCGAAATCCTGGTTCCGGCTTCCTTTGCATTGATTCGGAAGCAGAAGCTTAGCAAGTTTAGACATGTTCAGAATCCATGATTGCAAATGAACTGAATTTGATTTACGGGAGCCCACCGCTTATGTGAGGTTGTCATCATGGAGACTATTGGAGACTGGGCCGCCAACGAGTACATGGCACGCCTGGGGTGTTAGGGGTGACACACATCAAGCTCGCAGAGCCTAGGCTCTCAAAGGCACCATGAGAGAATTTCCATTTGCTGCTGTTGCTTCGAGCCTGTTTCTTCCCGCATGCATGGCGTGTCAAGTATGTCCAACTTGAGGATCAGCTGACACATGTTTCGCTCGGGATGTTTCACCCCGAAGCCCTTTCAAGGGAGCCACGGGAAGGATGTCCCTCCAGGTGAGCACCTTCCTGGATGCACGGCACCGGCTGCGCCTGGGAGATGCCCGATGGATCCCCGGTCAGGCAACGACCGCAAGTCACCCATGGGAGGTTCAGTGGCTTGCATCCGGTCAACGTTTTCAGCAGCGGTTCCAATTGCAATATCTACCCAGAAAATAGAGCTTGTCAGGCTACTTCCCCAACCTTGTTGCCGAACCAGAAGATCCTCCTTTCAAGCCAAGAACTTGGAACAGACTGTTGTGGAGATCACGTACAATCATCGTGTTTCAGCACGGTCGTTAAGCCGTGCTGCATGAACCATTCTCGCCTTGGTCCATCCCAGCTGTACTTTACAACCCCAACTGCAGAGGAGCTACCCCACGTTCGCCCATAGTCGACCCAGTTTTTGCCTGGACGTGTTTCAGAAGATGACCCATTGCATCACAGTTCCTTTAGTGGTGGTTAGCTGTGTGCCTCAGCTCCAGGTGCGCACCCGCTTTGCACCAGCGCGCATGCCTAGCTGGGTGCAGGGCGCACTGCCGCCGGGGCTGTGGCTGACCAGCGACCCGAGGCGAGGTTTCACGGACGTAAGTAGAACCTTGCCATTTTATACGGGCTGCTTCCCATGCTTCCCCTCAGTGACGGATTTCCTCTAAAATGGAACACCCTCTATTAATGAACTAATTTATTTATTCTTATCTATCCATCATAGGTTGCGCTGTAATTGTAGACCTGTACAAATGACCTGCATTTGACCCAAGGTGTTTCCAAGTACGGCCCAGATGGAGCAAGTGTGCGGGTATGTGGCTGTATTGATTGAAGGAGCTGTAGAGCTCGCAACTACCAGACTCATCGGGTTGACAACTCAAAGTATCACCAAACGAGACTGTCAACACAGCCCTGAAACTGCAAATTCTTTATTAAACCGTGTTTAAAAAATGAAAAGAAAAAAAACACAATCAGGACAAGGGTACCCCTCACAGACTCCACTGAACCACAACAAGGGCATCCTTTAGGGGGACCACATTAGTTGCAAGCCCCCAGCCCCCTCCAGAGAATAAACTGTCAGTTGCTTTACTCAAAAGCATTCCCCTTTCAATTGGTTTCTTTCTAGCTCAAGCCCTCCCTGGCTGAAAGGCACACCCTAGGAATGGCTACTAACGTAATTAGTATTCCAAAAAGTATGCTCAGGAAGAAGTGGTTGCAATACTAAAGTAGTATTCCAAGAAGTATGCTCAGGAAGAAGTGGCTGCAATACTAAAGTAGTACTCCAAGAAGTAGGCTCAGGAAGAAGTGGTTGCAATACTAAAGTAGTATTGCAAAAAGTCTGCTCAGGAAGAAGTGGTTGCAATACTAAAGTAGAATTGCACAAAGGAAGTGGCTGCAATACTGCAGTAGAATTGGGCCCCAAAATCCTCCATTGTTTGGACGTCCTAAAAGCGAGCCTACTTTTTTCCAGCGCCTCCATTGTTGAGGGGGGGGCTTTATTAATCAAGTGCCAACATTATATGGGTCCTCAGAGTCTCTATAGTGGGGCCATGTCCCCGACGAAATGCGTTGCTGTCCAATGTGCTTGCACCTTTCTGATCGTTAACGAGACAAAGCAAAGTGCTTTCAGGTCCCCGAATGTACAAATCACCTGTTACAGCAAGCCAACTGTCATGCTAAGCACCGCTCGTGACTTATGAGCCTGTGCTTTTGAATCCCAGAGGCTAGCCTTGTCGGACGCTGCAACTCTGGAGTTCTATGACTTCAATGCTTTCGAGGCGTGGGCAGCAGTGGAGCACCGCAGGGGGCATAGTTTCATTTGGGTGTCTTATGTGAGGGTATTTTGTTTGGGGTGGGTTTGAAGGAGAAACAAAGTGATACGTTTGGGGGTGTTTCCCTTTGAGACAAACCTATCCAGCTCCTGTTTGGCCAATAGGATAGCAAGCATAAATGTAAACAACAGAACATCGACTTTCTTGTGCTGGAGGTTGCACGTGTCCTTTTAAGTTCAACGTGCACTGTTTGCAATCTCTAGTTCTACACAAGCTCTGGGTTCCGAGCAAATTTGATTCCTGTCTTTGCGTGGTTTCAAGTTCTATCTTGGGTTTTTTGAAGGCACAGTTTGCCAAATCAAGTCACCACCTTCGCCGCATTGAAGAAGGTTGGTAGTTTGCTTTCGGCTTCCCTTTGAATCTGAAACGGGTACGTTCAAAATGATATATCCGAATCTAGCTTGGGCGGCTCGCCCTCCCAGTTTTATGCATTGGATTTTCAGCTCAACCACCAAGCTGCTCCCCCACGTGGCTGAAGTACATGGTAAAGGCGAATAGGGGCAGAGTGCAAACAAAGGGGAAGAGTCCCAACTTCAAGAAACACCCACGCCTTTCCAATCCGGCGTTTCCGAGAAACAAATTAGGACTCCTGTGTGCCCCAATCTGAGAATCCTTGTAAGGGTTCCTGACAGGAAGCGTCAACTGATGGGTTTTTTCCTCGGCCTTCCATGTCAGAGTCAGGAGAGCATGGTGGCGCAGCAGCGGGAAGCCAGTTTCCAGCTGACCTCGGCGGGTTCGCTGCAGGGCTTCCTGATTTGGGTGGAGGCACGGGCTGGAGGGCCATTGGTTGGTTGGGACGGGCTTGGGGGGTGGGAACGGTAAATCAGTTTGCACGGGATAGGGATGTAAGCAGGCCGCTCAGCCATTTTGGATCATTTTGGTCAGACAGGCTTGTATTTTGGGCATTCCGGGAATGGAATTGGCATTTTCTTCTTGTTGTCGGGTCCAAACACCGGGAGTTAGGTCAGCAGGATTTAAGATAAGCTGGGTGATTTTGCCAATGCCGCTTCATCCAAACAAATATAATAAAGCGCATGCAGGGAGCAAATTAAGACGGAAGTGTTGTGGCTGACTGTTGGTTCCCAGGAACATGTGCGCCGAGTTTGGTGTTTGTCCAATCTGCCACACGGAGCCATGGCTACACAGTTGTCAGGACTCTTGCTTTGTTGAACTTGTTGAAGGAGCCAGGACATACAGAGCCCCTGTGAGGGAGCTATGGCTATGTCCTAGCACTGACCATGGCATTAGTGAGGCCGTTGCCTCAGTCAGTGTTAGACAGAGCACGAGGATGCCCAGAGTTAGTTTGTATATATATATATATATATATATATGAGCCACGGACAAAACACACGAAGACCACTTTATCAAGGCGGGGTACGTTTTTGCATAACACATGCCAACACCATGGAAAACGATAAGGTCTCCCCAAAAACGATAACACTTAGCTAACACTGATAACCCCTGCAGTTGCAACTTAGTTAGGGTGGGACCCTTGCGTTGGCCACCATAAAACGAGAAGGCGAGTCGCCACTTTCGAGCTGGAGCTGCCCAGGTGTGCTTCGAAAATACGACACATTGTACTGAGAAGTTGCGATTTTCGAGCTGGAGATGCGTTAAATGTACTTCGCGCACTAGACTTGCACTACAAAGTTGCGATTTTCGAGCTGGAGATGCGGAAGTGTACTTCGCGTACTAGACTTGCACTACACAGTTGCGACTTTCGAGCTGGAGATGCGGAAGTGTACTTCGCGTATTGTAGTACAATTAAAAGTACAAGTCTAGTACGCGAAGTACACTTCTGCAGCTCCAGCTCGAAAATCGCAACTTTGTAGTGCAAGTCTAGTACACGAAGTACACTTCCGCATCTCCAGATTGAAAATCGCAACTTTGTAGTACAAGTCTAGTACGCGAAGTACACTTCCGCAGCTCCAGCTCGAAAATCGCAACTTTGTAGTACAAGTCTAGTACTTCGCGTAGTAGACTTGTACTACAAGGATGCGATTTTCGAGCTGGAGCTGTGGAAGTGTACTTCCCGTACTAGACTTGTACTACAAAGTTGCCATTTTCGAGCTGGAGATGCGGAAGTGTACTTCGCGTACTAGACTTGTACTACAAAGTTGCGATTTTCGAGCTGGAGCTGCGGAAGTGTACTTCCCGTACTAGACTTGTGCTACAAAGTTGCGATTTTCGAGCTGGAGCTGCGGAAGTGTACTTCGCGTACTAAACTTGTACTTCGCATACCAGACTCGATTTGCGAGCTGGAGATGCGGAAGTGTACTTCCCGTATAGACTTGTACTACAAAGTTGCGATTTTCGAGCTGGAGCTGCGGAAGTGTACTTCGCGTACTAGACTTGCACGACAGAGTTGCGAGTTTCGAGCTGGAGATGCGGAAGTGTACTTCGCGTACTAGACTTGCACTACACAAATGCGACTTTCGAGCTGGAGCTGCGGAAGTGTACTTCGCGTACTAGACTTGTACTACAAAGTTGCGACTTTCGAGCTGGAGATGCGTTAAATGTACTTCGCGCACTAGACTTGTACTACAAAGTTGCGATCTTCGAGCTGGAGATGCGGAAGTGTACTTCGCGTACTAGACTTGTACTAACAAAGTTGCGATTTTCGAGCTGGAGATGCGGAAGTGTACTTCACGTACTAGA